TCTGGCGCGACAGGTATCTGATGGCAGGCGCGAACTAAATCGACTTTGCTAAACATAGACTTACCAGCTAGAGCTGAGCTCAAGCCGTGCATGTGCGGAATGGGATATTTATCCAAGACGATAACTTTGTTAAGTGCCCTGTGGTCGCCACAGGGGCGCCAGTCACCGGATGTCTTCGGTACCATGTGTAATCGTGATGCCCATGGACTTTTGGACGAGCGGATGATTCCCAGTTTGAGCATTTGCTCGAATTCCGCCTTAGCAGCTTTGAGCTTGTCCGGGGCCAGTCGGCGAGGGCGGGCCGAAACAGGTGGGCCTTTAGTGCAAATGTGACGCATGACGTTTGACGTCACAGGAGGCAAGTCGTTCAGGACGCGAATGAGTTTAGGATGCTTGTTGAGAAGTTCTAGAAAAGGTTGTGAAGCCTGAGGTAGGACACGAATGGAGTGATAGCAGCCACGTTGACGCTAGTCCCGATAATACTGGGTTGTGTCCTAGAGTCGATAAGCTTCTTTCTTTTAGCGTCGACGACAAGGTCGAAGTGTTGCAGAAAGTCTATGCCTATGATAGCGAAATGCAAGGCAGCGATTATGAAAGGCCAGCGAAAGGTTTTCCGGAGGCCTAAATTGAGCGTTAGCAGCTTTTCACCGAAAGTTGCGATAGGTGTGCCATTGGCGGCACGCAGCTTGGTCGGCGCTGGTGAGATGACCTCATCTGGGCTACGGGGTATAACACTAGCTTCGGCTCCTGTGTCAATTAGAAACTAGGTGACGGAAGTTAAATCCCTGACGCGGATGAGGCGACTTTGGTGTTGGCCGGTCGCGTCCGTCACCGTTACGGACCGGCCGAGAAGTTTCCCTGCTTCTCGGCTAAGTTGCAAGGCTTTACACATTTACGAGCTGCGGTACCAAAGCGCTGATGGTACCAACAGCTAGCCCAAGTTTACGTGGCTTTGGGTATGAAGACCGGTGAGAGAAACTAGGACTCTACACCTTGTCCTACCGTCGAGTGCGAGTCGACCTCATTATGACCTACCGTATTCTACATCTAGGTGACTTCCCCATGTTAAGGCCAATGCTGCACTTACGAGGGCCATGCAGCACACGCGGACACAGATACAAACTTGTCGTGCCGGATGTGAAATGTGTTCCCCACCCACTGTGTTTCGAACGGAGAGTGGTAAACATCTGGAACAGTTTGCCTGAACATGTGATTGAGGCATCATCTGTGCAACAGTTCAAAACGTTGTTAGATTTATATTTTGCAAATATTCGATTCAGAGAACGACTGCACACTTACGATGACATATCACATTTGTGAATCCTGAAATATCGTAAGTCGAATATTTTAAATATTACATGAGAACGACAATGATGTTCACGGTTGACAACTTTTATAACATTTCTCACGATATTTCGAAAGAGTTGTACAGAATTCATTTCTACTTGCTCTACTATACTGTATTCAGTATTCAGAAGGTCTGAAGGGCGATTTTGATCGGCTATGACAACGACGGTTCATAGTAAGCTGTTGAAACTGGCGACTAAATGTCGCAACTTATGTTTGCTGGGCTTCTATAGTTGACTGTAAGCCAGTGCTAGAAGTGCCCTGGGACGCGACGGCATTGGTCTTGGTAGCGTCGGCTTGTGGCTGTGATCGCACAATAGCTCGATCCGCTACGTCTGCTAATTGAGTGAGCGAAACGGAGCTCACTGTAACGAGAATCCGATTGCGTGTTTTCCGGTAGCCGCTGCAGCCATAGTTCGCGAACTAACGTCTCGTCCATGGTTGAGGAACCAAGGACTTGCTTCATCTCTCGTAGCAGGGTTGAGGGAAGTTTGTCGCCCATCTGAAGATCCCTGAAAAGCTGCTGCAGTCGAACTATTTCAGAGGGCATAACACGCTTAATCGTGGCCTCCTTGAGAGCTTCATAGCGGTTTTCGGTCTGAGAAATAATAACGTCAAGAACCTGCATTGATATCTCCTTGGGGTGATAGGACATGAGCTTGCTATACTTCGTGTAGTCGGAAGTGATTCTGTGGTGTCCATGCCTTGTCTCCCTGTGAGCATTTGGGTCTAGTCTACGAAGACGTTGAGAAAGCTAGCCTTTTGGCCCAGCATTCTTCTTCTGTCTACTCCGCCGAAACGCCACTCCCAGATAGCGTTGCACACACTCCTCCTTCCGTGCTGGAGGACGTGAATGTTACCACTGACGTTGTAATGGAACTCTCACTTGACCTAGACCCGTATTCATCGCCTGGTCCCGATGGTTTACACCCATTGTTCCTTAAGACTGTGGCCGGAGACATTGCCGCTCCTGTCTGCCAACGTTTCCGTCGTTCACTTAAAGTCGGGCGGCTTCCAAATGCTTGGAAGATGGGAATTGTTAAACCCATTTGCAAAGGAGGGTACCGACAGAATCCAGCCAGCTATTGTCCCATCGGTTTGACTTCGATTTTGTGCAAAGTCATGGAAAGGATTCTGAAACGGGCCCTCCGTC